CCGACCTTTACAGCCAGACTAAAATCACGAAGGCGCCAAAGATGGCCCAGATTAGCATAAGCCGCTCCGGCTTTCACTATACATGCAATGACCTCATCACTCACGCCACCACCAGCACTTATGCAGCTACCAAGATACACGAACTTCTCGACTACTTCTATCTGCTCACCATCCAGGGTGAGTACATGATTAGAATCCTGCCAGTCTTGTAGAGGTACTTTGCACTTCGAATGTGCAAAGCACATACCATACCTATGGACACTGATTGCCAACTGATTAAGTGCGGATTGCATGGCTTGGGCGTTATCGCACAGTAAGACAATATCATCCGCATATTGAAGGCCGAGAAGTCTTTCTCCGGGCAACAGATCTACGCCGCCATTACTTACATCCATCAGAGCTGTTTCCAGAATGTCATCGATGGCAAAGTTGAAGAGGAATAGTGAGATTGGGCAACCCTGTCTAACCCCACTGCTCGAATAGAACAATGGAGAGAGGTGGTTGTATGCCCTCACTCTCCCTGAGGTGTTTGTATGTAGGGCTTTTAAGATGTTATTAAACTTCTCAGACACACCCTTCTTCGATAGATTATCCCAGAGAACAGTCCTATCCAACGAATCGAAGGCAGCCGTGATGTCAAGAGACTACGATTGTTGGCGTTCGATAAGTATGACGGTGTTCTGATATTTGACGGAGAGTGAAGATATGATCAATACATCCTCGACCGGAACGAAACCCAGCCTGCTCCTCGCGAGTCAATCTTTCTCGGGTTTTGAACAACCTAGGAAGTACGATAGGAGCCAATAGTTTGGACGCAATCGGAAGTAGACTTGTCCTTCGATAGTTGTTACAAGAACGACGTGAACCGTTTTTAAAGATAGGGACAACTATCGATTCATTCCATGACGTTGGTACACTCTCTAGTTCCCATATCTTTGTAAACGTCGTCAGTTCCTTAGTCAAAAAGTCACCACCATCTTTAAAAAGAGCCGGAGGTAAGTCATCTGGGCCAGGTGATTTGTGACGCTTCGACAGTTGGAGTTCCTTGCGGAATTCTGCCTCATTTGATGGATCAGTCATCACCGGCCATGGAGGGCAGGACAGTCTGATCCATGTTGCCGGAGCAGCAGACCAGTCGAACTGCTACTCGAAAATTCTGCCCATCGTCCAATACGTCGATGGATGTTGGTGATTGGCACCCCATCATCCTCACAGATTGTTTCGCTCACACTAGACTTCTTGGTGCCAGTGGCTCGGATGAGTTGGAAGAGCTTCCGGTAATTACCAGATGCAGCTGCTTCTTCCAGCTCATTAGCACGCTCCGACCACCAGGCTTTGCCCGATTTCACTAATTGACATCCTTTGTTTGTGGTCAAACTCACGGTCACCCGGAGTAGACCGACGGGCTTCAATGAGTTGTGAGGAACCTGAAGAAACCCAGTGCTTATAAGCGGGACGTTTCGCGAAGCCGCAAGTGACTTTACTCGCCATTTTCAAGGTGTCATGCAATTGCAACTAATGTTCGTCTATACCTTTCGGTGGAATGGTAGCTAGCCTAGAAACTAGCTCGGTTCGATACTTACTTGCAACAGAAGTTGCAACCAGCTTGCTAACATCAATCCGTTGGTGGCGGTCACTTCGTTGGCCACTGAAAAGTAAGGCAAGATTGGCGCAGACGAAGGCATGGTCAGAGTCCAGATAGGTACTCCAAAAGGAGCGGCAGTCTTGTACACAACCACGCCAGCGGTAGCTGATCGCGATGTGATCAATCTGAGTCCAGGCTTGAGATGCAGAAGGAGGACGCCAGGTGGCACATCGGCGATGACTGTGCCGGAAGTTAGTGCTGGCCAGAAACAGGTTGTGGTCTGTGCACAGTTGCAGTAGACGGTCCCCGTTATCTGTCCTGCGACCAACAAGTCCCCATCAGCCACCTAAACGACTCTCTTCTGTGCCTAGACGCCCGACCTGAGCATTCAAGTCTCCGGCTAGTACTACAATGTCTGTCGAACGCACTTTCTGGAGAAGAACAGTTAAATGGTGGTAGAATTCATCCTTGATTGCATACGGGCTGCAATCTGTCGGAGCATAGGCGATGACGGAAAGACATTGTTTCTCACGTCCATTTCTTCTCACTTTGATGGAACTCTCTAATCTAACAGCACATAACCGACTTTTAATGGGGATCCAATCGATTAGTGCTGCCTCAACTCTAGCGCTTAGTGCGACATGAACGCCAGCAAGATCAGACGATGTCACAGGGTCCCCAGATAAGTGCACGTAAAACAAGCTTTTCGAAGAGACAGATGAAGAGCGAATTTGTAGTACTTCACCAGAGTCTTGAATACGGGTCTCAGATAGACAACACACGTCGATATTAAGACTTTCTAAAGACATAGCCAGCCCTATCTGTTGTCCGACCTGCATAAGTGTGCGAACGTTGGAGGCAGTCAGTTTGAATGGTGCACGTGGTTTCAGAAAAACTGCTTCAGTACTCGAATTTGGTGGTAGCATACAATTTTCAATCAAGCAGTGACTCGAGAACGTTAGATAGAACCGAATTTCGACCATAGGTGAGCTGCTGTATAAGTCGAAAAATAAGGATACACAGAGTGGGAATAAAAGAAAGTGAACAAATGACGTAGTAAATAATAATAATAATAATAATAATAATAATAATAATAATAATAATAATAATAATAATAATAATGTGAATCATTTGATTGTTAATCGCAGCAAGAAGAGTATTTTCCATAAATATAGACAGTTCATCATAATTGTCTGTGGGCTGTGATACTGTCCGGGTACCCAAACCGAAGCAGATGGTTTTCTTAGGAGTCCACACCCCGAGCCTTTGACGTAAAAATCTGGCCCACAAGGCAGTGGAGCATCGTAAGGAGATGCAGTCCCATGGTAGCCGGTGACTAACGATTGGTTCATGCGCCATTTGTTCCTTCAGGATACTGGAACCCATGTACACCATTGGTTTGGGATTCAGGTTAAAGCGCCGGACATTCGCCTTCCGTCCACTCATTTTCGTAAACAACACCCCCACCACGAGAAGGACTTCCCTGGCAGAGGCTGTATACGCATGGCCGTGTGAGAGCATTTCGGGTCCGCCCCACTCTCGGCCATACCAGGGACTCCAAAAAGCAAAGATTTGTGGTATAATTGAGTTGGTTTGGAAAATCTCTTATTCCTCTAAATAAATGTTTTCCAGGCTGAGCCTTAGCACTACAAACATTACACTATGTGTAAGCTTAAAAAGTAAATGAGCTCGTACAATTCGGTTGGTCGCATATTTTGAAATCTTTATACATGCCATTATTTTAACTATTTTCTATATATCCCCGTAAACAGCATGTGTTGTCTAACAAACTAGTTACTTAAACACTTTCTTACTCTGTTTGCTTGATGGATTAGGTTTCTGTCACTTTGTCAAATAACAGAAATTCACATGGCAACTATTCTTGAGAAGTTTTCTATGGGTTTACATTATTCACTTACTCTTGGTATAATTACAGTTCCCTCTGCATTTTTTGTCGTTGAGTATTTGATTTGGAAAGCACACAAAGAGAAATTACTTTGTATAAAGTACAGAACCTTTTGGTCTGTAAATGGTATTGTATTTTATGTGGTGTATTAGGAATTCAATTTTGTATGAAAATGAATTAACTTACTGTACGCATCATGTTTTTACAGTTCTTTAACAATCGTCTGATTACGATTTGAAAACTCAGATTAAAAGGTAGAGTAACAAATTTCCTTGGTGGTTTCCGCAACTGGCCCGGTTGTACCCCACTGGTCACTGCTTCTCACTAGAACTCCAGGATATACATCTTGAAGTGAATCACTAATGAACATGTCAGTCAGTATCAAAAGGGTTTTGTGGAGATTGTAGTCATTTCAATAGTTGAGATCATGAGTCAATGCATATAAATATTACTGTATATTAGAGCAAAGTCTGATGAATAATGTTCGGTTATATATGTTGTTTTAAATTTACAATATGGGAATTTTTTTAATTTTTTGCTTTAATAAAATCATATCAGTTTTTTGAATTAAGTTATGATAATACTATTTATTATTATAGAAAATATCTCATCCATCATAATAAATTCAATCACTCCAATCTGTATTTATTTGATTCATAATTTTAAAGTTCAATCGATTTTACGTGATACTTTTCATTGGAATAAAAGATTATCTTTTATCTTTTCTTTAACACATCACAGAAATTGTAAACGAATGATTATTCCTTTTTATATAGTGATAGATTTCAGAACTTACAATGGTCTAATAAGTATGTTCATAAAAATTGAATATAATTAAAGATTTATTACTGAATTTCGAAAACTACTTTTTTTATATTCTAAACTTTATTTCGAATTTATTTGAGTATTTTGTCAATGTCAAATTAATATTGAACAATAACAATATCGAAATAATGAATATTAAATAAACATTCGAAAGTAAGAGATCTATTAAAAATAAATTTATGTTCAACTATTTTTACTTTAATTATTGGTTTTCGTGGGTGAATAAATATTCAATTGTCATAAGAATTGAGAGTAGATTTTTATTTAATTTCCAAAAATTTCATGTACTTTATGTTCAGTTTCAATGATCAGGAACTGTAGAGTTAAAAAATTACTGGATCTTTGAAAATATCATTTATAATCCTATTTATGGATTGAATTCAACAAAGTTTAATTATCTGAAATCTAATTGTACCTATGATACTATTAGACAATTATCAAAAACGTTATCATTATAAATCTACAATTTGAATGAGATTATGTAACTGGCATAACAACTTAAACAAACGACTATTGAGTGGCAGCACAAAGAAAGAACGCGAAATTATTAAAATGTTTTTCTAAAGGTGATTTCTTCACACTATATCTTTTTCCAGACATTACTGATAACAGTGGATTTCTCCTGACATCACTCAACGTATCAGTGAACTGAGGTCTATTAATCTGATCATTTTATATGGAGTTCTAATTTGTTTCGATTTGTTGTTGTTCATTATCTAAACCTAAAGCTCTACTAGCTTTCTGTAAACGTTGGTCTTCTTGTAAAATTAGTGGTAGTAATCTGTTCTTATTTATACTAGCCCGTTTTCTACAGGCCAATAATAATCTACATTCATTATCTAACAATTCTTGTATAATAGCCTTTTGTTGATCAATTGTTAGTGTTCGTTTTATCCAACGTCTAGCAGCCCATATATTTAATAATATAATTAGAGTCAGAAGCAAACCAATCGTTAGTAAAATCACAGTTGTTTGTTTCAATGCTCTAGTTGTGATTGGATATTCAATTGATTGCCATAAACTAGGTTGCATTGGATAAATTTTTAAATAAAACTCATTAATTAAATATATCCTATTAATAGATGTCCGTGGATTATCGGCTTGACTTGGTAAACGATACGTTTGAATAAATAAAAAGCATTTCCATGTTCCATGATGTGTTAAATTTAAATAAGGAATTAATTGAATGCGTCGATTTAATCGTAAAGCTAAGTTACGTGAATATTCATAACCATTCAACTTCCATACTATTTGAGCTGATTCCATCCAAACAGCTGTATTATCCAATGCATTAAAATATCCTAGATTAGAATAAAGATAAAAGGGATTACCTTCTAGTGCAATATATTTTACACCAGTAACAATCAAGGTATAAAAGATTGTATTCCACTTGTGATTCCCAAATGTCATTTGGCAGGTATAAAAACCTTGATCATAGTGATCTATACTTGGAAAGACTAAATATGTATCCTCCATGTAAAATGAAGATATCTCTGGCAGTAAATTCCATTTCATTTCTTCATCAAACAGTCTATTTTGATTATTCTTAGGCTTTTTAGTTCTGTAAAATCGGCCAGATATAGATCCTGAGCCAGAATCGGTTGGATTTATCGATCTTCCATTTTTAAGCCATTTTATAGTCAAAGTATGCTCTTTAAATAATCGAGAGGTTAGACCGAAAATTCCTCGAGAAGTTAATTTTTTGGCAAGGTTGTAAGCTGGTGTTACACAGTCCATTCGAGCACTTTGCTTAACATGCATTCGTAGAATATTTTGATATGCATTCAAGTTAAGTTGATCTTTTGCAACCTGGAAAGTTATTTTGTCAGCAATATCATCAAGGCTACTAAAATCTTCATCTACACAATTATGATCACATTCTGTAGTCTGATGGCTAATCCCAGAACAATTGAACCCATATGGTTCTGGAGGAGGATTGTTACAAAATCGGTAACGTGTCCTACTTCCTGTATGACATCCTTGCCCATTAATGTTTTGCCCACCTGTGGGAAGACATGATGACCATGAACTCCATGTTCCCCAACCTGGAATACGTGGGCAACGTGTATTGACAAAACATGGTATACATTCTTTAGCTTGAGATTCATATGGATTTGAACTTTCACACATCACTGTTGATGACTGTACATTACCATATCCATCAAGACAACTTCGAACTCGACATCTTACTCCATTACCACAAGTAACGGAACAAGTTAAGGGTGTCGAAGACCACTGACCCCATCTATATTTTAAATTTCTACTAGCAAGGACATAACTAATTACAAGACAAATTAGTATGAACCAGGAACAGTTTAGCATTCGACAAATAAGTTAAGTATAAATCATACTTTGAATGTCTTACAATATATTTACAGCGATTTATTGATTATCTTAATAGATTATCAATTTAAATAATAGACGATAACAGACAGAATATATAAGAATGTGTGAGTATATTAGGAAGAGATTCCAATCAGTTAGATAAACTTTACTTATTCAATCAAGAATACATGCTGAGGATAAGTCAATTCGGTATATATCATGGCTTGTTAATTAGAGAATTATAGAACTCTATAAGTGGGAATTAATGGAAAGTAGAAAAATGAACACTTATGAAAGTTCACAGTCATGAATATTTTGATCTGTTTACGTGATAGTTATAAATCGAGAAATTATTCAAGTCATTAATTTAACTAGGATAACGGATAAGCAATCCAGCTTTGAGATTAACTAAAGCAATACCTGGCTACATTACGAAACCTTAAAAAACTTTAAGATACAGATAAATTGTAGACATCAATTTGAAGGGAAATCAAAATTAGCTGATCACGATTATACTTTTTAAAAAATTAGTTTGTAGATCGACGACAACTAATGACTTCTGATTAACAAAGACGATTGTTTCTCTGACGGAAGATCGTTGTATCTCAAATAAAGTAGTATCTTGAAAACAAGGAATGTCACTTAATTGCGTTATAGAGAGCAAATTATGAAGATAATCAGTTTGTGGCTACTAACTAAGAAGATATTCTGAATGTGAAAGGCTCTTGAGATAGTTTGGTTTACAAAGTGATAACTAATCCACGTAATATATATTACAAGGTGCCTAAGTGATCCACTCACAACACAGGTTGGTTTTATCTATAGATCAGGAAAGTAATAGCTTCATCAATAGAGTACAAATGAACATTTCGAGTTTTTAATCAACATAGTCAACTGTATGCGCTATGTTAATGGTTGAATCAAATATACTTGGAACCAAATTAAAATGTACTAACTTAGGGATCGAGACAAAAGTTGTACTGACATGTTAACTATATGCCTGAAACAATAAGGGAGACTAACTGATTCCTGAGTAGTAATAGTAAACTGTCTAACTCTTAGTACTGGACAAATCTTATTTATTATAGGAATAAACAATGAGGGTTCGAATCATTCTATGAGGATGAGTTTCTTTACAATCATAGACAAGTGCAGAAAGCAAATAACTTGAGCTTGTAAACTATCTTAACTGCATTCAGCTGGCTAGATTTGGTTTACCAATACTTTATAAAGATTTTTTACTAAAATTATGCGAACCCGAACTTCAAGCAAATCTATCTGATAAAACTACCAATCAGTCAAATCCTTTTAATACATGAATGATTTTACCAACGAAATAGCATTTATATGACACCAGAAAATGTACATGTATATATGAAAACGTCGGTTTACTGTTGATGACACTATTGGAAACAAGTAATTAGTTATTATTAAGTGATGATATCGGATAGTTAAATCTGTATCAAGTTATTCTCCTATTTAATAGACGTGAGTATTGTTGAATTACATCAAGTGCTGAGATTAGTATAACCTTTAAAAAGATGTGTCTGAAGATAGTTCACATTGCAATCTGATATCAGCTACAGACAAATATTTTGTCCTGGTCTGAGGTTCTTCAGCAGATAATCGACGGCTATACATTGAATCGGGACTAAAATCTTCAGTTATTACGGTGAGCACGATACCATTCACTTACAAAGACTGAATCCAATGATCATTATTTTCGAATTTTAGGGATGTAGTTAGCACTTCGGCGCTGGTAGAAAAACAATCAATGCAAACATCTGTACAAATATATTTTAACGTGGATCCTTTTGTTGTCTACATTTACGGCATTAATATACACCACAAAGTAGGAACTAATAAAGTTATACGATGAATTATACAAATACTTGATAAAAATAAAAGGAAATCGAAATAGGAAAAATGCAGTACATTATATACTTTCGTAATGAATCACATATTTGATATACGAAGATGACTACTCAATAGTGGCTAATGATTCTTTCAACTGTTCATCTGGGCAGATTATTTCATCATTAGTTGCCAGGAGAATACAATAATGATCAAACAACTGCATTGTCACTTCAAGGTCATCCAATAGTTCCAAATGTTCTACTCTAAAATAAAAATACAAGCAATAACGAACTCATATGAAAGCTACACCTTATAAATGTATGTCCAAATAGGTAAAGTGAGATTTAAGAAATCAAAGTTAAATAATTAAATCTGAATTCTCATAAGGATAAGACTAATCAGCAGTTGACCCCTTTGGATGAATAATTTGTGTGGTAGAATCAAATTTACCCGGAAATTTTTCATCGCGAGGCTAAAAAATAAGCTTCAAGCTCTTTCAAAGATTAGATAAACTCTGACTAATTAACATATTAAAATATTGTATGGATTGTATATAAATTCACTGGTCAATGTTGTTATTTAAACACAAATATTTCTCATAATTACTTTTACATCCTGATAATCCATCAGAGTTTTGATAGAATCTTAAAAACAATAACACAAAAAACTTTGTATCGTCATCTCACATTTGGGATAGTATTTACATTTATGTTCATTTGATGCGTTCAAACTTCATTTATCAATAAATTTTTTTAAAAGACTTCTACTTGATCGGATTTACTTTTACATAGTTACAAGTTTAGAAAAACGGATATATAACACGTTATGATTTTATCTACTGATATATCATTTCAAGTGCAAATCCTCACTTACTTCAGGTAAACTCACGTTATATTTTTTTCAACTCAAATTATACACATATTCATGAAGTGAAGGTCTGATTCAAAAATTTTGATACCTCATATAAAATGTTTAGATTCAAATGTTATTCGTCTTTACATCAATATTGGAAATGACCACGAAATATGAGACAGAAGATTAGTGATAATGAAAGATAAATTTTATTTTACTATGTATTATGAAGTTCAAAAACGACCCAATCTAATTTTACCTGTATCGAGTACTGGAAGGTAACATCTTATAAACTTGATTTATAGTCCATCCTTTGGCTTTTTTCCAACCAGCCTTAAAAAATCTGTAAAAAAGAATGAAAAACAATAACAAATATGCAGATTTTCTAAGTGAATGAATGTTTCAGCTGAAGATTTGTATGGAAATTAAAACAGTGTGTTTTTATTTGAAGTCCTGATGATAAAAGTGAATTTTTTTTAAAAAAAAAACAAATGATTATTCTACGGACAATTTCAATCAACCGAAATGAATTTATCATGATGTGGAAATTACATTAAAGTTTAAATTTTACGCTACGTATTAACGTTACACATCATGGGTTTAGTCCTAGTACTATCTGAAAACACGAGTGATGTTTGAAGATGACACCATGAACGTTTGAATTTTGATGCACACAAAATAACAGACAGCTTTGTTACGATTTTGAAAAACTAAAATATAACTGTATCACCAGGATCTGTATTCAAGACCCCAGTAAATTAATGTAAGCTCTCAACACCGAAGTTGTACTTGAGTAAGTTACATCAGAAATTGTTAATATGTTAACAGTAGGTAAACAGATTAAAGGAACTCTTATGAAAACTTTTTTCAAGTGGGTTTAAAGAAATAATCGTTTTAACAAACAAATAGCTATTCTTCATGACTAAGTCAAATATTTTGATTATTACTACTAATCGACTAGCACTACATAACCATTTGATTTATTCAAACAGTAAGTCCTTTGAACTAATTACCTTATGGAGGAAAACGGTTCTCGAACTGTATTATTTCACCTTACAATGTAATGAAGCAGTGAATATAATATTCGATGGAACTTGAATTAGTAATTGCTGTTTGAAGAGATTACGAGATCACCTAAAGTCGGCGAACGGAGTGAAGGATCAGCAACAAGACAAGCTAAACTACTTCAATTCGTCTCAGCCCTGGTAACCAGAGGGAGAAGACCAGGTTTAGGGAAAGATGTATCCTAAAAGCAACCACAAGCACGAACCAATGACATTTAGGGTACTTGCAAGTGAGAAATACAATCCGAAGGTAAAAATGGGCGCTTTTGGAGTGAAACCAAGAAATCCAAATTTCTTAAATAAAATTCCAAAAATAGGACGTTTACCAAGTGATTTATAAGGATCTAGCATCACCAACAGTAATCACCAGTAACATTTACATATGTGGAAATTAAAATAGAAATCTCACCGTTCCTCTTGAGTAGCCAGTGAATGACATGCATCAAGACCAGGAAGCTCACAGGAACGAGCACGAAAATTTTTGATCATAATAGAACCAAATGAATCGCTCATATTAACCTGCACAGTAGATAACACAGGATTCGAATAAACACTCCTTTTTCAACTAGTTTTGCATCATGACGATAATAATGACAATGATAACAATGATAATTGTAATAATAAAGTCGATACTGATCAGTTAGTGGCGTATGAGATAGTGTTATAAATTCATTAGTGTTTATGAAGGTAATTGAGAATGATTTACGAAATAATCAAAAGATAAGAGGAATAAAATAATTAATATTCAGAGGTACTAATTACGAAATAAATAAATTGAGTATGTACTCATACATAAGGTAACATAATACGAGAGGATTGGCGAAATTTTGATGAGAGATCGAATGTTTATAACAGTTACATAAGCACAGTTTTTATAAAGAGAGTTAGTGTAATAGATCATTAACAAAGAAGTGATAGTCACTAAGTAAGTAGCGATCATAGTGTAAGTCCAGTTTGTATATTAATAGGGAGAAGAGATAACATGTAAAAGACCAATCATAGGACAGAAAAATAGCTGCCATTTGGTGACAACAGTAACTCATCTATTAGCCTAATGATAGTCAAAAAAATCTCGTTTAATTTAAGGCTATAAAAACATGACGAAGTAAAGCTACTTTCGAATTCATGTGATTTACTTCCATTTGAAGCTTGCTGTGATGACACTAGTCAGTCTGAAAGTGAAATATCAATTGTCAAATTTTATGAACCAGGAAGATATAAAAATCACTCTGAACTAGAAATGGATTAAATGAAATTAGTCATTTAGCTATCAACAATATAAAATTTGGAATAAACATCCATCGTCCTGCATCGTCGTACCTCGCACTAGCACAGGAAATTAAGATGAAAATAAAAAGAGTCGAAATGATTAAAAAAACTTCTGTGAACATTAAAGGAATTAATGTTCAATACTGTGGATTACCATAAGAATAAAGCCATGAACATATTCGTGAGAAAAAACGGTTAAACCAAATTTAAAAAGTAGTTAGGGTTATCTAACTATTTTGGTCCGTAAATTATCCATTCGTCCGCAATTTGTAGATGGACACACTTCATAAAAGCTGTTTGCTTTCTAATTAAGTGTTTAAACTTCGAATTTGTGTCAAGGCTCAGTTTATTTGAAACGCCTGCATACGGACAGAAAAATATCCCTTTGAAGACAATGAATCTTATGAGTGTATGATAATATCTACGGACGAAAATAAAAGTGTAATAATGACAGTTAGAGTTTAACAGACCTCTTCATTTTAAATAACGAGATAACGAAGAGCCTGGAATTAAAGTAGTTAGAGAACATTTGCTCACAGATTCAAGGTATGAAAATGCCATTATACTCAAAGGAAGCTATTCAAAAAGTGTTAGCGGGACATAGACTAGATTAAAGCATGCTCAATGCATGATTGCTTTGGTGCACGCTGATTGGCTAATTCTTATCCAGTCAGCGCTAGTCGATAGTTGGAGAATATTCTGGATTTTTCTTATGTAAAAACTATAAATATACTGACGTTTTTCCCTATTGTGCTTCCTACTGGCTTCTGACTTGCTATTTGGAATATAATCTTTTTCCTGTTCAACCGTGTTCTGATTTGGGGACTTGTCGAGTGAATCGGTGTCCGAGAATACTAAGCAATAGGAATAGCTGGGTCATTAACCGTAAGAAAACAAGCTATAACAGTGGCGACGGGGAAAAACTAAAGAAAAATGGCGATTTCTTTAGAACAGTTGCGGTTAATATTACAGCACCAGCAGAAGTTGTTAGCCTTGCAACAACAACTATTGAGCACACTTTTCACTCGACCAGAAAATAAGAAATCTGTTTATGATGCAGTAACAGACATTTCAGAAGCATATCTAGTGGAGGGTTCAAATCCCTTTATACCTGAATCAGAACGTAATATTTGTAACGTTTCCGGCTCACAGCAAGAAAATCCTGTGCTGAATGCTCATAAAGTTGTGGCAATACGAGATTATCAAGAGTCAGACCCTGTAGATGAAGCCCGGAGTCCAGAATTGAATGAAGCACTACTGGTCCTGTCTAGCTCTGAAAATAACTTTCAGCTAGAACAAATTTATGGTCCACGTGATATTAGCCAAGAAAGCTATGGGGACTCGTATTCAGAAAATAACTGCAGTGACACAATCAACCCAATTATACCGAATGTCACTCAAAATCATTGTGAGACAGAAACTTATATTGAATCAGCTTATCCGATTTCTAATGACAATGTATCAGACATGGGTTCTCAGAACAATGCATGTTATTTTGATGAAATTTCTCATAAAAATCAGGAAAATATATCAGCTGAGTCAAATTATGGTCAAAAGTCTAATTTAATTTTGTTAGATGATGATTTCCGTAATGATCCATTATCCACTGATGAAATTCCTAATGGATTTGAAAGTAATGCTTCAGAAGAATTAAACTTTGACCTCAAATCAAAGGTCGTTCATTATCATCTAGTCGTTTCTAGTGGATCCGACATTCAATGCGAGAAACGTCGTTTAAATAAAGTCCTATTATTTGTAACTTGGAGATATAAGGATCCGACATTGTTTCGCGGAGGAGGAGAATGTTGGAGAATTAAAAGTTATGCATACTTTTTTTTAAGAAAAATCAAAACGCCGGGAACAGACATGTCAGTCTCTGTGCAAGGAAAAAGTGATAATTCTTCATTGCCTAGACGATGGACTAATCGAAAGCACAAGCCAGTCACTCAGTTGCAGTTGGACCCTAGCACCAGATCCTACGAATCTGCTCAGAGGGGAGGTGTTAGCGGGACATAGACTAGATTAAAGCATGCTCAATGCATGATTGCTTTGGTGCACGCTGATTGGCTAATTCTTATCCAGTCAGCGCTAGTCGATAGTTGGAGAATATTCTGGATTTTTCTTATGTAAAAACTATAAATATACTGACGTTTTTCCCTATTGTGCTTCCTACTGGCTTCTGACTTGCTATTTGGAATATAATCTTTTTCCTGTTCAACCGTGTTCTGATTTGGGGACTTGTCGAGTGAATCGGTGTCCGAGAATACTAAGCAATAGGAATAGCTGGGTCATAACCGTAAGAAGAAGAGATTATAACAAAAAATTTTCAAGGGTCTCAAAACATTTAATAAGCCATTCGGAGCTGAAGACAAAAAATCGTATATACGGGATGTTCTGTAACTGAAGAGTTAGAGAATAGTAACTTTAGCATTTGTTAAGAAAATGGAGTCTCGCTAGGTTGTCATAATTATATTTATTGAAATATTTCTGATCTATACCACGAATTTAAGTTTAAATAACTGAATAGTATTGATATATTTCATATATTGGACGTGAATGACAGATGAAACTTGACATGGTTTTGTTCGCGTTATATCTACAAACGAACAGAAAATTTGATATGGTCCTGTGAATGTTACAAGGAATACAAATATGTCACGGTACATAATGCTTGTTGCTGGAAATAATGATAGAGTTTTGGTATACTTCAGAATTTGATGTTCAAACTAGGTTTATCATTAGAACAAGAGATGTCATCATTATCCACTTTATAAATATAATTATATTTTTTAGTAAGTTTTGCGTGAAATATCACGAAGTCATACATACATCTAAATGTATTTATAATTGATCATTAACCGTAAAAATGAGTTTAAAAAAAGTATACCTACCTGTTCATAATGCAGGAATGAAGCACGTGGGAAGTTTACCGAAAGACCCTTTATTAACTGACAGCTTGCCTCTGGAGACATATAAACAAGTACGCATTCAGCAAGGAAGAGAGTTGGGCAACTTTTGGAACAACCGGCCCCATTAACTGTTGAACATAAAACATCTAGAAGATCTTGAACAGATCTTCGTAAATCGAAACTCAGTAAGTGAAACCGTCCCGTTTCAAAAACGTAGTGCAAATTATCATGTAGTGCGTCGACAACAGAAGTCTTTTGATTTACTGTAAGGTTTAAATTATCGTCTTTAAGTGGTGAAGCATCTGGGTTCAAAGTATAAAGCTTTTCGTTAGATATATAGCATACATATAAGAGAATATGGTAAAATGAAAACGTTGAACGGTCAGTCATTCAATATTAGTAGAACATATATTAGAAATGGATATGATAAACAGAAGCTAATGTTTAGAATGCGATCATGTAATACTAAAATATGTGCGGGAGGGGGGATAAGCTGGTATGTTTATTTGAAACGATATGTAGGGATGTGGTAAAATAACAAATAAATAAATATCACTGAGTGGTAACTTCCACCCGATAAAATAACCGTACCCATGTTTATAACACAATTGGCAATATTAATATTGAGGGTAGACCACTAAGTAAAAGCATATGCCAATGACTCGGGGTCGGCACGGAATTCCAGATCAGTGCATGGAGTATTTATGTGACAGGGCTTGAAATCAACAATATATACATCCGATTAATGCCCTTATCTTAATTTCGAATGTCACAATACCTCAAACCAGTTGTCCTGATTTTGCATGGTTTGCCTGGTTTAAAAAAAATTAACATGGTTAGTATCCTTATTTTGACTTTACTGGATTCCTCCACTTCAAATATCTTCTTTATGGTGTAAAATGGCTTTAATGTAGGTTGGACTGCATTGATGTCTCGCTTCACTGTTTCTGTTTGTCGTTTAAGGTTTCAAGATTCTTTTGAACCATTTTCATGAGGAACCCATACGGTGTCATTTACCGATACTCAGCAATATCGGATTTCTGACAATTAGACATGAAGATACTATAAAGAATGAAGGACATACATACTAGTCTTATTAGCTGCTCACATAAACGGATGACAATGGTGAACGTCGAGAATCACACTTTGTAAAAATAAAATCCATACATAATTCAGTGTGGCGCCACTAACAATGTGAGTTTGTAGGGCTTAGTAAGTCCGGGAAAAAATAGCCAAAATATTGTTTAATAAGCAGATAAAGGTACATTGAATTATAAAATATTAACTGTCCGTAAAGGACCAATTTACTTTATATACAAGGATAATAAAAAGTGTGAGAGTTACTTGTTGATTCAAGCAGCCTTCTTCGTTGTATTGTCATAGCTTTTTGCTGAATGTTAGATGCCAAGTCTACTTCGACGTATAGCTCTGGAGTCTCCTGAGCATCTTTTAGAGCGAAGTACAATGTATCTGAGCCTGCACCAAGGTTTACAATTTGGCAGGCTCCACCTGTGGACTGGATAAGGTAATTTGTATTTTTCAAAAGTAAGGAACCTTTATAAATGATATGGCAATCGCTCTGAATGCAGTTGTTCTTATAAAATAGCCACGATTAATCTCCGGAGTTTTGTGTGACGGAGAGGAACAAAAATACCTGATATACTTGTCTTTCCAGTATCCACGAGAAATGGCATGAGCTTTACTGGATGTAGCGTCGTCATTAGTTAGTTGTATGATCTCATCTGTAGGACTACTCATCAGAGTAACGCTTACCGCATACAACCCGCGAAACACAAATGTTTCAGTCGTCAGATTCAGATTCAGATTTGTGTAGTAAGGACAGAAGGCCTACGGCCCATGTTATTCCTTTTCTAGTATGCTTCTGTGAGTGTCCAGTCTTCTCTTGAAAGAGTCAATTGAAGGTGCGGACACCACTGCTTCAGGCAGCAGGTTCCAAGTATTGATGACTCGGTGTGAAAACCTGTATGCCACGGGTATTTTGTTCGTTCTTGGCTTTTCTACTCGCCTGCTATGTCCTCTGAGGTGTCCCGATCTAGTGGGAAGAAGGAGAGAGAATAAGTTAGGTCCGAAATCATTTCTCAGTATTCTGTACATCAATATTAGATCTCCCCTTAGTCTGCGATAGGACAGAGTAAAGAGGTTCAGTTTTTCAAGCCGCTCTTTATATAATAAACCCCGGAGTTCCGGAATTGCACGCGTAGCTGCCCTCTGTACCTTTTCTAGTATGTCTGAGTCACCTTTTAAACAGGGGCTTGCAGCCTGAACACAGTTCTCTAACTTAGTTCTCACTAAGGATGTGTATAATGTGGTGAACATGGTAGTATCAAGCTTAGTGAATGTCCTTTTTAAAGCCCAGAGGGTTCGAAACCCCTTAACTGCGACCTCCCGGCAATGGGCCGTCGTCACTGTCACCCCTAGGTCCTTATGAGACCGGACTACGGGTAATGACACATCCCCTATGTTGTACGTATTAACCTTTGAATCCCCCAAGTTTATGTAGACACACTTTTCTGAGTTGATAGGCATCAGCCACTCCTTAGACCAGTTTATCATATTATTTAAGTCTGTCTGAAGAGTAAATGCGTCTTTGTCTCCAGGAACTACTCACCAAATTTTTACATCATCAGCGTATAATAACATTGGAGACTGTACTATACTTGTAAGATCATTAACGTACATCATAAAAAGTGAAGGACGTAGGACGGAACCTTGAGGTACCCCGCTAGTACTGGTCTCCAGATGGAGCACTTGGAATTCATTCAAACTTTCTGTCTACGACCTACTAGGAAATCCTTAATCCATTTTAAAAGAGGTCCGGCAATACCAAGGTTTTCTAACTTCGATAGCAGTCTATTTGTTGGCACCTTGTCAAAAGCCTTACTGAAGTCTATGTAGACAACATCCACTGAGTTTCCGTTGTCTAGCGCATTAATCCAGAGCTCCCTAGCTATAAGGAGGTTCGTTGTACAGGATAGACCCTTTCTAAAACCATGTTGTGCCATATTCAGCAAGTTATTGGTTTCCATAAATGCCGTTATGGTCCGTTTGATTATTCTTTCTAGTATTTGAATTACAACACTGGTGAGACTTACGGGTCTGTAATTTGATGGAACTTGTCGTAGACCTGTTTTATGTATGAGAGTGACGATTGCGTCCTTCCAGTCCATAGGTAACACACCTTGGTCAAGTGACATTTTGAATATCACAGTCAGTGGGGCTGCGATATATTGGGCAATATGTCTCAAGATTTTAGGGTGTAGTTCATCTGGTCCTGTTGACTTCTCCATGTTTAGGGTGCTGAGAGACTTAAGCACATCGTTTTGGTCGAAGTCCACGGTGAGCAGCTGGTTTGTTGACTCTGGAATTGGGTCTGGTTCTTTCTCTAAAGGAGGTTCCTGAGTGAAAACTGCCCCAAAGTAGTCAGCCATAACCTCAGCTTTTTCCTGATTTTCCTCTATCATTTCAGATTTACTTCCTACTTTAATTAGGTTGGGAATCCAATGATGAATCCTTGTTCTGTAGTTTATGTACGAGAATATCCTCTTGGGCTGCTTGAGTGCAGATTCTGCCAGCTGCATTTCATATTTTCTTTGCGCTTCCCGAATTTTAGTTATACACTCGTTTCTTATCGATCTGTAGCGTTCCATCGTACCTGCTGTGCCAAGGCGGATGGCAACATCCCAGCATTTCTTCTTTTGTCTTAGTAAGCGTCGAATATCCCGCCCTATCCAGGGATGTCCGTGCTTCTTTTTCTTTGGGACAGTCCAGGGTATGTATGGTTGAGTTACCCGATTGTATAACTGCCTGAATAGAGTCCATAACTCTTGTACTGATGCCTTTGAGTCAATTTCCCAGTTCTCAGCCGATGCTGCGGAGTTAATTGCCTGCATATCTGCCTTCCATATGTTAGGACGGGCTGGCGCAACTGTTTGACAGGCAATCTCAGCCATGAATTTGAATAAAATGACTGCATGGTCACTTCTCCCAAGTGGTGGGAGAAAAGCCATTTGACCAACGTCATCACCGTGTGTGAAGACTAAATCTAAAAAAGAAAAAGAGTTTCTTAAGTCGTACCTTGTGAGATCTCTAATGTGTTGGAATAATGTTAATCCAATAGAGGTTTCTAACAGTTTGCAGTCGAACGACGATATCGACGACCCTACCTCCAAGGTAACCCAGTTTATATATGGTGCATTAAAGTCGCCTACTACAAGGCTTTTACCGTTGTTACACCAGGACTTAAGTTTACCTAGGATAAAATCATCTGCTACACATTGTGGACTACGATATACTACAACTACTTCAATATCTTGCCGTCGGCATTTCAACTTACATCTCACCAGTTCACATGTCCCTGAAACATGTGCTACTGTCTCAGCTAATCTTATGGTTAGGGTACTTTTCGTGTACAGAATAACCCCGCCTCCCCTTCGGTTTAATCTATCAGTCCTACTGGTTATGAAACCGGTCAATTGGATTTCACTATCTAATACTTCTGACGTTAATCAAGTTTCCGAGACAGCGATAACGTCCGGTTTTTCTTTATCCACCACTGACTTCAGCTCCGCCATTTTATTTAGTAGGCTGCGAGCATTTGTGTAGCACACTTTTAAGTCTGTGGAGAGCTTTCCCTTGCCACCCAGAGTGGCTTGGGGATCGTTTTGCTCCAAAATTTTACAATCTGAAAACCCTTAAGAACGAGGTTTCTTTCACCGTTTCGGCGACGCTCGTTTATTTCCGCTTCTGCAGCTTTCCTCTTAATACGATCAGCTAGGCTGAGGTCCTTAAGGACATATATTCCGGATCCTATCAGTTTATGTGAATTACTTAGAATCAGGTTCCTTTCTTTCACCGTGTTGAATGTAACCTTCAGGAGGCGGTTTTTCGGAGGACTTTCGGAATCCACTTTTTTTCCTACTCTATAAAGCTTACAAATACTGACTCCTGAAACTGTATCTGGGAGTAGTTTACTTAATGATGTCTTAATATGATTGAGATCATGTTCAAATCTTGCCTTTGGTTCAGTATCTGAAGATTCTCTTATCTTATGAAAAATGACTGATCTCTCAGAGATCTGTCTTTTCACGCGGTGAGGATTTTTCTTCTGATAACATCCCTTCCAATGTCTTGCTGACCAGCTGCGTTTTGTCTACAGCCTTTTTCCTCTTATTTTTTTCCTTCTTACCGAAGTCCATTTGTCACCACTCAGAACAGCCACACCTGGATTATGTGGAACGGTGACAGTTTTATCCGGATCTTATATTTCGACTAGAGGTGTATGACTGCCGATGTCAATATCAAGCGACACTTCACTCCTCGTTAATGTCAACGGAGATTTCACGTTCCCGTCAACCGCAGTCAGGTGTTTAATGGGTCCTGTAGCAGCACTTACTACACTGACACATTCTTCATCGTCAGTGCTCCTGTTATCAGTGCTTCCGCCATCGTTTTTCTTGCAGGCCAATGCCAATAGGCCCATAGCCTCCTGTATTAGTACCTTTTTATCCGTACAGCAGAACATACAAAGCCAATGCGAGTTAGGCTTCGAGCATCTTTTGTAAGCCGTCGGACTTAGTCGTGTACACATTTTATGATACCACTTTTTACAGTCGTCACACTGCATTCCCTCCTCAACGGAGAACAAACAATTTGGTTGCCCACATTTGTGAGTCTTACCAACCATTGTAATTCGATTTAAAAGGTTTAAAAACAAAAAATGATAACAATGTGAACACAAGTGTTAGTCAAGGACTAAAAACAGGTTCTCAGAACAGAATGTAGCAAAAAATTTCAAACTTTAACCAAAGAACTCTTAGTTAAAGTAGACCAAGAATGCTTTTTAGTGCAATAAGTACCAAAAGCAAGTATAATCACAACAAGTACAAAATTCACTGCCCTTTTTGAAATCAGTCTTCAGTAATAAGGACAGTAGGTTGGTGAACCTGTGTTAATCCTGACAGATTGGTTTCCAGTGAAGGTCCAGCTTCTCCTTGAAAATATTCACTGATGGGGCTGATACCACTTGTTCGGGTAAGGCGTTTCAATGAGAAAAACAGGACCCCAATTTAAGTTTATTAGATCGCGGTTTATGAACCTTCTTGCTATGACCTCCGAGATTATTAATGCTGGAGGGAGCAAACATATAAGACATATTAACACCCAGATCATAATTAAAGATGCGGAATACCAGTATAATGTCACCTTGCGCCCTACGATACGACAAGGGGAAAAGGTTTAGACATTTCAAACGCTCATCGTAAGAGGGTTTACAAAGACCCTCCACTAATTTCGTTCCCACACCCTGGACACGCTCAAGTGAGTTAGTATCCTTTACCAGATATGGGCTAGCTGCTTGGATAC